AGACAAATACGATGGGATCCCCACTCTCAAGATACTTATGTTCTTGTGGAAGATATATATTTGTATATAAATAAATATTATACAAGGCAGGATATGATACACCCAAAGAGCTATGGCAGCACTAATTATGGGAGTGACTAATTATCAGTGAGGATGGGGGAAGGTCATTCACAGACTCTCAATTCATAACATCCAGGTTCCTGCCATATTGATGGCTAGTGTCTGTCCAGCCTGGTCCTCCGCACACTTATCTGTTATGGGATCTAGGGGCTGTTGCTAAAGCCATAGTAACTTGATTGAGGATCCAAGGATCTGAGCTCCCAACCTTTTGTCTCTTTCATCTCAAAATAAATAATATGTATCTCTGTAAAATGCCTCCTAGTTTAAGGGCCTGATCCAATAGACACACCCAGAATTACCCAAGCTACACTTTAAATTAACCGTCTCAATTATTATCCCGGAGTCCTTATAACTAAGTAGGGTATGTCCATTTTACATCAAAAAACTATGGTTCAGTAAAGTTAAATGATTTCTCTAGTGTCATACAGCTGGTAAGTGGTAGAGCCAGGATTAAGCCTAGAATGTGTGAGCACAAATTCAATGGAAGACAAACCAGTTTTCTGTAAATATGGTTTTTGCTTGGCTTGGAATTATACACTTGCTTTGAATCATCTATTCAGTAAATAATTCAAAATGATTAATATTAGGTGGATATTTTTAAATCCTTTTACTTTAATTTTGTGATAATATTTATGTTAAATATGATAATATTTTCAACTATAACCTGTTAAAATAACAAAGCCAAAAAAACTAGTGATCTAATTCTGGTTACTGCAGGTAATAAGATTCTCTGTTCCATTGGCAACAGAGGCTAATTATAGCAAAGCAATCAAGGTCGTCCTTCTTCACGAAGACACTGAGGTGAAAAACATGCATTGCGTGGTCATGGTTTCTTCTGTACGTCCTTAACGTGGAAACAAATTTGGTTTTTATTGATGCTACCTTCAGTTCAACCATTTAAAATATTCTAATTTCTGAAGTGAAGAAGACTGAGGTTGGTGAACTGAAGCATCATCTTAATTGTTTTTTAAAATGTATGAGAAAATGTGTGCTATTTTAAGACTCTGTTAATTTAATAACAGTTGACAAAGCACAGTGAGTGAGCAGGTTAGAACCTGAGAAGACTGGATGATAAAATTAAAACATTAAGCACAAGCATTCTTATTAAACAGCTTGCATATGGGTGCCAACTGGGGGTGAGTTTTTATGGTTCATTGGACTGTATTGTATGCCAGACACTTCAAAGAACATTCCAAACAGATGGTCTTGCTGAAGTTTAAAGTTAAGCCTCAAATCTCATATTTTGTTCTGTTTTTTTTTAAAGAGTTTTTATTGTGAAGTATTGAGATATTTCACAGGTAATGAATTAATGTCCTGTAAAATGTCTCAATACTTCATATTAAAAACTTATATTTAAAAAAGTATTGAATCATAAAAATTTGAGTCAATGACAATTTTTTTAAAGACAGAAAAAAAAAGCAGTACCTTGAATTAAAAGCGAAAGATCTAGTCACCAAATTGTAGACCTATCTAGATCCTGATTTGAACAAACTAACAATAAAAAGACATTTTTGAGACAATCAAGGATATTTGGTTAAGGAATTGGTATTAGATATTACCAATGTACTGTTTTGTGAATATGGCTTTGTAGTATGTAAGAAAATGTTCATATTTTAGATATGATCCTTGATATATAAAGGGACAAAATTACATGATATTTGGGATTTGTTTTTAAATATTTTGGCAACAATGTAAATATCAGCAAAGTTAATTACTGAATCAAGGTAATGGGAGTATATTGTACAATTCTCTTATGTAAGCTTGAATTTTTCAAAATAAAAAGGTCTTAACAAAATACCCACAGAATTTAAATAAGGAGGAGAGAATAATGATTGTAACTCTAGACCTTGCAGACCTATGAGGAATCTATAATGGTAATCATGAACTGTGTAAAATATTCTTTATTCTGCATCACTGGTGTTGTTCAAAACAAAACAAAACAAAACAATTATTTACAGATGAAGTTAGTTTAAGTCTTTATTTGCTAGGATGGTTTTAGCAAACTCCCTGAAAAGAGGAAAACACTATGAGGTCACTCAAATCCTCCATTTCCTAAAGTTGCCCCAAATTGTAGCCCTGCTTCCAGTCCTGACCTCCAGTCATTCTCTTCCTACTAGCTACAGTTATATTTAAAAACATAAACCCAGTCATTTCACTCTCTGCTTAATCCCCTTCCAATTCCTGGAATACAATCAGAAGCCTCCACACAGCTCATACAGCCTTACATAAGCTAGCCTGTCTCTTGGCCACTCCCTGAACACATATGCACCAGCCTCGCTGGCTTTTTGAGATCTTTGGTAACCAAGGTTTGTCCTGGCCCACGACCTTCCCAGAGTTGCGCAGGATGCTCCCTTGGGAACAGAACATCCTCCCCCATCCACTGTTCCTCCCTTATAGAATCCAGCTCTTTTCCCTCTTATTAAGTTTCACAATTTAACTGGATTTGTGTGATGTCTGTTTTCCCCACTTTTCTGAAATCTCCATGTGTATGTTGTTTACCCTTGTACAGCGGACAATATTCAATATTTAATAACTTAAGAAACATTTCTCTTCAAGCTTCTGATCCCAGAAGTATCCTGTGAATACTGAAATTTAGTTCTGAAATATTAGAGGGAATTTGGTGAATATTATCCAAAAAATATTGGCTTAAACTTCAGAGGAATTAAGGTTGAGGGAGTGGAAGAGTGTTTGAGAGGGGAAATGTCAGAGGGCAGCAAGTGATGATTAGGCTGCGGTGCAAAACCTTACAGAAGGGGAGACAGCAACACCACTGTGATTCTCAGTGTGCTTGAATTCATTCATTTCCATGTTCCTGTGATGCTCTCTCTGCTCAGTCAGCACCGTGACTGCTTAGTTCTCTGATGTGCAGTGAAGCCTTGCCCTCACTATTGGGGAGGGTTAGGGGACAGGGGACAGACAACCGACCAGGGTCTCTCACTCCTATGCCAGGGAGCCAAAGTTGGCAGAAGACATGCGAAAATGTACAAATCCACAATCACAGGGAGGTTTTAACATACTTCTCTAAACTTGAGAGCTCAAATATACAAAATAAGAACAACACAGCTAACAGATTTTAGCAACTGGACTTATTGTACATCCATATTATTTTTAAAATTTGACATGATGCTTATGATGCACAAGGCACTAGTTGTAAGTGCTTTACAGCTATTAACTCATTTAAACAATTAAATAGTATACATTCTTTCTTAGGTTATATGGAACATGTATGAAAGTGATCATGTACTGGGTCACAAAAGAAGTCTCAATAGATACCAAAAATTCCTATCTATAGATCTTAGCATATGTAGTAAAAGTATAAAAACATGTAAGACAGCAGGTTCCTTGACAAAGGCAGAGAGTGGCAGGAAGAGAAGGGGATGAGTGCAGAGGTAAGGTTTTGGCTTAACCCAAAATACTTTATTAGAAAGAAAGGAAGGAATGAAAGAAGGAAGGAAGGAAGAAGAAGGGAGTGGGAGAGAGGGAGGGAGGGAAGGCAAGAAAAATCCAAACTGAGGGATATTCTACAAAAATAACTGGCCTATATTCCAATAAAATGTCAGTGTCATGAAAGACAGAGCCAGACTAAGGAACTGTTCAGAGTGAAAGAGACAAAAGATATACAACAACGGAATGTAATGTGTGATTCAGGATTTTCTTTTACTATGAAGTACATTATTAGGACAACTGGTGAAATCTGAGTAAGGTCTGTGGACTAGATAATGGTTGTGCCAATGTTAGTTTCTTGGATTTTGGTAACTGTTGTTATGTAAGAGAATGTCCTTGTTTTTAGAAAACAAACACTGGAGTATATAGGAGTGAACAGGCATTATGCCTGTAAATTTCTCCTTAAGGTTCAGAAGAAAATAATCTGCATGTGCGACATAGAGAGACAAGGATAAAGCAAATGTGGGGGAAAATATTAACATATGGAAAACTGTGAAGGGTGCATGGGAATTCTTTATAATATTCTATTTTTCTAAATGTCTGAAATTAAGTCCAAATAAAAAGTTATAGCAATCACAATTATAAGAAAAGGGGATGTCACTTCTTCACATTTTAAGTATTTCATAATCTCAAAAGAAAAAAATTAAATCAAGCACAGCAAATTGTGTATAAGAGGAGCCCCCTCATGTCAGAAGAGATGAAGCTCTTGTCACCCCACAGAAAGCTGCCTTAGAGTGTAAACTGAAATGAGGTGTGCTCAGGTGGCTGCAATCCTCCACAAGGCTTTGCGGGGAACAGAGGTTGTGGGAATGCTTAGTTGGCACGGTCTCCTGGTGGCGCTGTGTAGGGAACAACTTGCCCAACTCTTCGGCCCTGAACCCACATCTTATTTACCTATAATCAGCAATTCTTCTGACAGGATAAATTAGTAAACATTAAAATGTATCTAAAATTTGTTTTCCCATTGTCCTGTGCATGAATACCAACAGTGGATGCTCATTATAAACAAAGCACTGCACTAGATACAGCAGAAAAGTATACAAATAAATATAAGACATCTGCATGTGTTATGGTCGAGGAAATTAAAAAGAGAGAGAAAAAAAGATAAATATAAGACATGAACAAATGTCACCCCAAACCTACACCTGACAGGGACAGTAGGGCCTGGAGTGCCTGTGTGTGTCAGCAGTTGTACCGTCCACTTTCATTCTGGCTGCCTCATTTCATTTTCATACCAATTCTGGGAAGTAAGTATCATTCTCATTTTATAGATGAGGAAGCCCAAAGCTAACTTGCCTAAAATTACACAACTACCAAGTAACAAAGCCAGGAGTATAACATCTGAGATATCAAGTCTGACTCCAAAGTCCATGTCTCTACCATATCACCATATTTTAGAAGTCACATAAACATGAATACAGCAAAATTTCACTTACTCAACACTCTTGGGGATGAGTCATGCTGAACAGATGAGTAAGTGAAAGGCCATCCTCTAGGAAACATTGTTCAAAATCTTCCAAGGTCAGAACAGAGAAGATTCCAGAAGCCTCTAGAGAGCATTTTCTTTTCTGTGCTTCTTTCCCTCCTGGGTTTCTGGGATTTGAAACCTGACACACCTGGTCTCTGGGTGAGACATTCTCCTTGAAAGCTCCTACAGCAGGCGGCCAAAGATCCCTCTTTTCCTTTTTGCTCCCCCAAAGCACAAATGAAATAGACTGAGAACTCAACTGTTTCTAGTGCTGGTTGTATTTTGTGTATTTCTTGTTTTGTTCTTTCGTATGTACTAACATTATTTCTAAGTTATCAAAGTACAGCTTTCTGATATCAGATTGGGTACCCACCCAATCCTGAATCTTAAAACAATCCCCCTGGAACAGAGAGGGGGTTAAAGACTTGGCAGGTGTGTTTCCCATCTTATTTGTCAGTGTTTGCTACCTCCTGGTCATGCAGCTTTCATTATTTATACTGTCCTTAGTTCTAGAAATGCATCTAATGACTCATTCCACTCCTTCCATATGTAACCTCCCTGAATTTTAGTTTCCTCATCCATATAAAAATGGAATAAAAATACCTAACTCATAAAGATCAAATGGGGAAACCATGTAGGTATAGGCATACAACGCACAGTGAGCGCTAACTTTTCTTCTCTTCCCCATCTGTGCACAAACAATACAATATTTATAGCTAACAGTTGAGCACTTACTAGGCCCAGGCATTGTTCTAAGCATTTTACAGCATTAACCAATTTAATCCTCAGCACAACCTTATGAGGTAGGTACAATGATCACCTTCATTTAATAGATGAAGATACTAAGGCACAGAGAGGACAAACAAGTTACCCAAGTAGAAACAGCTAGGAAATAGCAGAGCTGGGACCCCCATCTAGCCAGCTGGTCTCCAGAACCAGCTGTTTCTAATCACCGACCCTACCCTGTGTTGAAAGTCAACCATCTACACCTGCATTCCATTCAGTTTGCCTTTCCAGTCCACACCCATCCACAACCAGGGCCCACAAGATGATACTAGCAAGAGACAGAATTGAGGGAACATAAAGAAAGAGCCCACAGATATATCCTATCAAATACATAGATATTTATGATTAAAGATGCAGCTACTTTATAACCTTCTGTAACGTTTGAATTCTTAGAGCAGGCATGTAATACTTACAAAATCAATAAAAAACATATGTAGGTTTATTTGGGGGAGAAAAATTACCAGGCCTAGTTAAGTTTGGAAAGGAAGAAAGGATTGCATATTGCATATAGGAGGGAGTTTTTTTGTTTGTTGTTTAATGTTAAATTGCATTAAAACAACAACTTGCCAGCAAATGGTGAATATTTTCCCATGTCATTATAATTGGTTAAGAACAAGGGTTAAGAATAGACATGGGTTGAATTCCAGCAACACTACTTTACTAGCTGTTTGAACTTTCCCTAGCTTCTCTCAGTGTTTTCTCATTTATAAATGGGAATAATACCTATCACATAGGGATACTGTTAGGCCTAAGGCAACATTAAGGTTCTTGGTACAGTGGCAGATACATCACAAGCACTGAAGAGTATCTCATTTCATGGGGATGTGCCATGATTCATTTAACCAGTCCCACACTGTTGAACATTTGGATGATATTCAGTATTATCATTAATATAAAAGCAAAATTTTTCCATACATTTATTTCTATTTCTTTAGGGTTTAATCCTGTAAGTGATCTGCTGGAACAAATGACATGAGCATTGTAAACTTCTAAGACATTATCAGATTACCAATATACAGTTCTACCAAGTTAAACCTCCTCTCTATTGTATTATAGATATTTATTCAGCTTTTTACCAACACTGCACATTATTTTATAGGCTAAAAAAAAATCCCTCACATTCTTTATTTTACACATTAGACATTTCAATTTCTTTTGTTATATTCTAAAGCTCTTAGGCTCCTTAAAGTATGAGATTGGCACAAAAATAGAAAAAAATTGGAACAGGTAAAATTTTTAATGTAGTACATTAAAGAGGTAGCATTTTGAGTCATTTATGAGAGGATGAATTTTTCCAATGGTTTTCAACCCCCTGCAACACTCCCTGGGGGGGGAGGGTGGGAATGGAGGAGGTGCTAGCTGGTTGGGAGAGCTCTTGTTCTTCCCTACTTCTACATTTACTTGTTTTACATATTGAATTTACTGGTAAGCTTTGATCTGAAGGGTTCTGTACCTGAAAACAAAAACAAAAACACATTTAGTGCAAGGTTCGTGGACAACCGGTATTTTGCAATAAATAAGTTGAATCTATCCCTTACATCACATACAAAAATACACTTCAACTGGGTTAAAATATTCAATGGAAAAAAACCCACATAAATTACAAGAAAATATGAACAAGCATTAACTGATCTTGGGGATGAAGACGACCTTTTCAAGCACACTTATAAAAGCAAAAACTATAACACGAGGCACTATTTGTCTATATTAGTTTTCCTAAAGTGTGGGACTCTGATATAGGTTCAAAATGGTTTCATAGCCAAAAAAGTGTGGAAATGCTACATATCAATAATAGTGCAAAGGGGTGGTGTAGGGCAGTGGTCCCCAACCTTTTTGCCACCAGGGACTAGTTTCATGGAAGACAATTTTTCCATGGTGGGGGAGGGGGGTGTGGTGATTTCAGGATGATTCAAGTGCACTGTATTTATTGTGTACTTTATTTCTATTATTATTACACTGTAATATATAATTAAATAATTATACAACTCACCATAATGCAGAATCAGTGGGAGCCCTGAGCTTGTTTTCCTGCAACTAAATGGTCCCATCTGGGGGTGATGGGAAACACTGACTGACCTGACAGGAGGTGGAGCTCAGGCAGTAATGTGAGTGATGGGGAGTGGCTGTAAATACAGATGAAGCTTAGGTCACTTGCCTGCCACTCACCTCCTGCTGTGTGTCCCAGTTGTTAACAGGCCACGGACTGGTACTGGTCCAAGGCTCGGAGGTTGGGGACTGCAGGCTTAGGACACTAACTAACATCCCATTACGCCTACTAGCATCCCCAGATCATCACAAAACACACACTCTAGATCAAACAATGTGCAGGAAGACATATCCTAGTGTCTTATGCCCCAAACAGACTCTTGACACTAAGCCCTTCTCCCTAGACATTCTGGAGCCATCGCAGCTGCTCTCTGGAAAGTCACAATGTCATTAGCATAGAAAGGCACTGAGTAGTCCTACAGTAGAAGCAGCACAAAACTAATTTACCCCACATTTGACTACAGAACACTTCCCTCAACACGATATCTATTAATATCCATAGAATTCATGGCACACACCCAGCCAAATGCCAGGCTATGCAGAAATTAATATTTGAACATGAAAATCATATGTGAGAGGTGTCCTTGTGAAGGATATACTGTCCATTTATTGCTATTTTACCAATGCTCAATTTGAGGCACTCTCCGATGTGATCTGCTGACACCTAGTGCCAATGCCTTAATTTAGTACACACACTTACTACTAATAAACTGATGCCCACTTAAATAAAAACCCCTGCCTGCAGACTGCCTTGGATCTAAATTCTTACACATCATCATTATGATGCACTTACATCTTGAAATAATAGGAAAGGATTTATGTAAATGATTCACAAGGTAAAAAAAAATGTATGCAGGCTTGTACTTTTGTTCTTCTCTCACCTATTAAAACATGTCTTCTGCAACTATAGGTATAGAAAATGTGTCAGGTACTTCTTGTTCTGATTTTTATATCATACTCATGAAAGGAACTGAATTAGACTGTGTTTAGGAGACAGAGTTAAATGGTTCCGGGAGTGGAATCAGATCCTACAAAAACCCAAGATTGTTACTAGAATGAAGATAAAACAAGTGTTTCATTTAAGTGAACTCTTACACTTTATTTTCTTCCACCCTAAAAGTATCCTTCACCTTCTATATAAAGGGAAGAGAAATCGAAGGGAAAGGCAAAGGTAATACAACTGCAGTGATAAGCATTCTCCTGCCCCAACAACATTGGTTATATAGTCTTGCCATTTAAAATTAATGTCAATTTGAGGCCAGGCGTGGTGGCTCATGCCTGTAATCCTAGCACTCTGGGAGGCCGAGGCAGGTGGATCGCTTAAGGTCAGAAGTTCGAAACCAGCCTGGGCGAGACCCCATCTCTACTAAAAATAGAAAGAGATAAATTGACCAACTAAAATTATATATACAAAAAATTAGCTGAGCATGATGGCACATGCCTGTAGTCCCAGCTACTCGGGAGGCTGAGGCAGGAGGATCGCTTGAACCCAGGAGATTTAGGTTGCTGTGAGCTAGGCTGACGCCACAGCACTCACTCTAGTCTGGGCAACAAAGTGAGACTCTGTTTCAAAAAAAAAAAAATGTCAATTTGTATTATAAAATGTTATGTTGATGAGCATTAAGATTCAACTTCTGGCTGGGCATGGTGGCTCACACCTGTAATCTTAGCACTCTCAGAGGCCAAGACCAGAGGATCACTTTGATCTCAGAACCACCAGCCTGAGAAAGAGCAAGACTCTGTCTCTACTAAAAATAGAAAAATTAGCTGGGCATGGTAGCACCTGCCTGCAGTCCCAGCTACTCTGGAGGCTGAGCCAGGAGGATGGCACAGCCATTGAGCTATAATGACACCACTGCACTCTAGCCAGGGCAACAGAGCAAGACTGTCTCAAAAAAAAAAAAAAAAAGAAAGATAGATTCAACTTCTGATCTACTTCAGTATTAAATGTCTCTATGTTTAATAATGTCATAATACCTGTTTGCACATACACTGTATTATTAACTTTCAGGTTTTTGTTGGTAGTTTGAGATAATCATATTTTAATAAAAATTCTGATGCTATAAAACCCTTGAATGCCAATTTTATTTGAGTATCACTTGACATCTTTGCTAAACAGTCTTTAAAGTTACTTTAAAGTTAGTATTTTTGAGTATTTGATGTCTGAATTAAATTGCATCTAATCTAATTATTGCTAGGAGCCAGAAAATAATTCCTCATTGTGGATTTACTACTCACAATGACTAAATTGTTTCAAATATAAATATATTCATATAAGTGTGTATATGTTTTATGCAATTTCTTTTTAACAATAATATGGCACTGATAGTTAGAGTGCTGAGTTTGCCACGTCTAGGCTACTGTGTGACATGTGATAACTCAACTCTCCCACCTCTTTTCTCTATCAAAATGATCGTTAAATCTTTTAAGTTTTGTTACGATGTCCTTTGGCTTTCAACTGATACAAACAAAATCCCAAACTCAGTGTAAACTCAGGCACTCAAAAATTCATGTTTTAAGGTGTTGATCTGGAAAATCGTATTACTTTGTTTTAGATTATCATCAAAATGACAACACAAAATTTTAGAAGCTACAGAGAATTGGTAGATTCTCCGCAAACATATGCTTGGATCTCAGGCTGAAACACAGTGCCACGGGTGATAGCAGTTCATTCATTCAGTAATACTTATTGAGGTTACTATGTGCCTGGCACAGCGAATCCAATAATCAACAAACTGCCTGCCCTTATGAACAGCCTTACTTACAGTCTAGTGGGCAAGGAGGACAATAGACAAATAATTTTATAATTTCAGATAATGATCAGTGGTGTAAAAGAAAATGACTGGGATAAGGGAATGGAGAAAATAATGCAGGTGCTGTTTTAGAGAGGCTGATTAGGAAAGGTGTCTCACTGAAGCTGAGATTTGAGCAGATGCCTAAGTGCAAAGCCCCTGAGAAGGAAATGTACTTGGAGTGTGTGAGAACCAACAAGCAGACCAGTGTGGCTGAAGTACACGAGGCAGGGAAATAATGTCAGAGAAGTAGCCAGAGGCCAGACTGCACAGGGTCCCGTATGTTACAGTGATGACTCTGGTCTTTAGAAAATAAATAGGATTGCAGGAGACATACTTTAGACAGACTGAAGGTGGAATGCCTAGCTCTAGTAAAGTTCTTTTACTTTTAAAAATCAACTTTACTGAGATATAATTTACATATAACAAAATGTACCTATTTTAGGAGTATAGTCTGATAGGTTTTGGCAAATATTATAAATCCATGCCATCACCATAATCTATATAAAGAATATTTCCATCATCCCAGAAAGTTCCCTGTTAACTTTTGTGGTCAGTTTCCATCCTCCAACCCACATCATAGCCAGGAATACAACTGGGATTTTGGGACAAATTGTTTTTAATGTGGACTTTGAGGACCTAGATTTGTGCTGTCTAATACTGTCATTACACTAGCCACATGTGGCTAAATTTAATAAAAATGAAATAAAATTAATCCTCAGTTGCACTAGCCACATTCAAGTGCCTAACAGCCACATGTGACTAGTAGCTACCATAGTAAACAGCAAAGGTGTAGAACATTTCAATCACTGCAGACAGTTCTATTGAGCAGTTGTGAGATGTTACCATGGTGGAATGCAACTTTTAGCCCAGCCACCTGGTAGCTGAGTAAGCCATACAAGTCACATTACCTAGCTTTATGGTACTACCTGTGTTTATTACCTTTATCACCAAGTAATTAAAGTCCCGTGAGGGAAGAGTTTTGTTCCATGTTTGCACGAGGGTGTTGAAGGGGGAGGAGTATTCACTGGGACAGCATAACAACAGCAATAGTAATTACTGAGATGTTCACTGCATAGAAATTCTTCCTCCATTACTAAGTTCAAAGGATTTCCTACTTTTATTAATGGAAATATTGATTTCCTTTAAAACTCACAGATGTGTATGTATGGTGGCTCAAGCATGTAATCCTAGCACTTTGGGAGGCTAGGCAAGAGGATCACTTGAGGCCAGGAGTTCGAGACTAGCCTAAGCAACATACTGCAATCTCATCTATATATAAATAAAAAATTAGCCAGGTGTGGTCATGCACCCCTGTTATCCCAGCTACTCAGGAGGCTGAGGCAACATTGCTTGAGCCCAGAAGTTTGAGGTTACAGTGAGCTTATGATCATGCCACTGTACTTCAGCCTGGCAGCAGAGTGAGACCTTTCCTCCAAAAAACAAAACAAAACATAACAACCACAACTCATAAGGTACAATTTTGTTTTATGTAAAATTAACATTTATGAACTCTAGTAGTGGGTACATGGGCATTTTTTATATTATTTTTCTGTATACTTTTGAATGTTTGAAACATTTTAAGAGGAAAAAGTAGGCTTTCATTTAAAACATTGAACAAGAAGTATTTAATGATATCAAGATTGTTCATGATGTGGTTAACCAATACAGGTTAAAAACAATATGTACAGGCTGGGCATGGTGGCTCACACCTGTAATCCTAGCACTCTGGAAGGCTTGATCACTCAAGGTCAGGAGTTTGAGACCAGCCTAAACAAGAGCGAGACCTTGTCTCTACTTAAAAAAAAAAAAAAAAAAAAAAAAGAAAGAAAGAAATTAGCTGGACAACTAAAAATATATAGAAAAAATTAGCCAGGAATGGTGGTGCATGCCTGTAGTCCTAGCTACTCGGGAGGCTGAGGCAGAATGACTGCTTGAGCCCAGGAGTTTGAGGTTGCTGTGAGCTAGGCTGACACCACTGCACTCTAGCCCATGCCACAAAGTGAGACTCTGTCTCAAACAAAAACAAAAACAACAGAAAAACAATATGTACAGAAGAGTCAGTATAACACAGTGGTTAAGTACATAGGCTCTGGTACCAGATTGCTTCAGTTTAAATCCTAATTATGTTACGTACTAGCAATGAGCCACTAAGCAAGTTACTTAACTTCTCTGTGCCTCAGTTTCTTCATCTGAAAAATAAGAATGACACTAATAACACCAGCTTCATAAGCATATTATAAGGATTAAGTACATTTAAAGACCACAGTGCACAGTAGATGCTAAATAGGGGTTAATAGTTACTATTATAATTTTGGTTTCTTAAAAAAGTACATATTATATACACAAATAAAAAAAGAATATGAACGGTCCATTAAAAATGTTAACAATTATAACCTCTAATTGATAACAGATAATTTTCTTATTTTTTTACTTATTTTCTAAACATTCTACAAGTTCTTTTTGTACTTAAAACACCAGAAACACAGTAACAAGACCTTCCCCCAAAGTGCCCTAAAGTCTGGTAAGCAGTGATTCTCAAAGTGTGATCCTTGGACCGGCAGCATCAGCAACCAGAGAATTTGCTGGAAATGTAAATACCCAAGCTCCACCCTAAATGCACTCAATCTGGGCTCAGGCCCAGAAATCTGTCTTTTAGCAAGCTTTCGATTTGATTCTGACGCTTGCTAAAGTCTGACAACTATTGTGTGAATGCTTCTGGTAGCTCTGTACTTGACCTCTCTCACTTTTATATAATGATAAAATACGGCCAATCTTTCTTCCTCAGATACTCTCTGCAACTCTTATTCACAAGGTCCTCCTTCCACCCTTGGACATACCTTTTCTATGAGCCATTTGAGAACAACACCTCCTTTTCCCAGTTACTGCCTGATACAGAAATCATAAATGCTTTCTGGGGCTGGCAATTTGTCTCAGGGGACCTGATATAAGAACTTAAAAAGTGAAGTGCTGGCCACTGCTCAAAGATGTTCACATCAAAAAAACAAAGTTAAATCACTGCTGGCCCAACAAAAACAGCTTATACATCGAAGCCAAGTTTGGCCACTGGCCACCAGTTTGCACTTACTTGTTGGCTAATTGTCTCTCAAATCAGTAAGCAGCTGTGATGTAGTGGGAAGGGTGAGTGCTGAACAAGGAAAACCTTGATTTGAAGTTAAGCTCTGCCACGTCCTAGCTGGTGCTAATAAAAATGATGGTAATGTTAACCTTTTAGAGTTAGATCTTATCTGTACAATAAGGACAATAGCACCTGTCTCACAGGAGTATTTTAAAGATTAAGATAATATACTCAAAGACACCTGCCCCATAATAGGCTCTCAATTAATTTTTCATAGCACTTGTGATATGTGTTTCCTATACTATTTTGGTTAATTAATGCTTTATTCTACTTGTATTTATGAACAATTCAATTTAGCCTTTCTCTTCTACTAAACTCTAGCTCCTCTGGGATGGAGATGGCCTTGTGCATCCCTCTGAATTCCTGCAATATCTATCTTTAGTAACTAGTCCCTCTCATATTCGCCCCGAGCTTGCTTCAACCAAAGCTTGTGACTGAAGTCTGACTGTATGTGGCAGGGCTCCGGGACAACATGCTCAACTCTTAGTACACATGTACATTTTATATGAGCAAGTATGTGGACAACTTATAACAACCCGCAAAGTTATGATTCATATATATATATATATATATAAAATATAAAAAACAATGATGGTTGCTCTATTGCTAGAAATGGACAACTTTTGCTTTTATCTTTACCACATTTGTTAAAAGCAATGCAGGAAGTTTAGAAGCATCATACTAGCAATTATGAAAAAATGGATTTCAGTTTTAACTGAATTTTGACAATTCAGATACTAGTGATGCTGGGGTGATGGTGGTAGAAGAGGTGTGTATCAGAGCAGTTAACATTAGGTATCCAGCTCATTTTTTCCATCTGGAATACCAAGAAAAGAACAAGAACCATTAACTACCTCACAAAGATCCTGTGAAAGTTAATTAGTCAATTCAATTAATCTTAACTAGGCAATTGAGAGATCATGGAATTTGGGGAGAAGAGGAAGAAAGCATGTGGATCTTAGATAAGCAGGTGAGATCCTCATCCTTATATTCCTATGGCCTTATAAGAAACAGTATGTCATATTGTCACCCTAACAAAATTTTATTTTTCTTACTTTGTAATAATAGGTACCCATGCCTTCTAAGGGCTGGTAATAAAGAATTAATTCACATATTGAACTTGGCATAGTAAATATCATTGCCCCTTTATATTAGCTTTCTTATTTTCTGAACTTACTAACATGTGTAGACTTATTAAATAAATGAGTTTCAGGTTAAATGATCTAATTTAATTCTATAATTGCTTGAAAATTGTCTCCTCTCCCTCCCCTCCCCCCTTACCTATACCTAATAGGGTATTTCTATTTTTTCCCTCAAAAGTATAATCCTTAAAACTATGAGAACTATAGTAACAAATGAGTTTAATCATCAAATTTAGTTTGGGAAAGAATGTTTCTAATTAATCGAAGTTCCGAATGAGGAAATGAACACTGGGTTAGTCAGTGGATTGTGCCTGACAAGCCAGAGAAAGACTTCCCATTTCTTGAGTGGGGTGGGAAGTGGTTATTTTGTCAAGGTACAAATCAGAATGACATATTCAGATGCAATTTAAAAATTCTACTTAATTATTCATACGTATCATCAATAAGGAAAATTTGGCTTGGTGATTTTAAGACGTAAAAGTGTATGACAGTGTTAGACTGCAGACTGTTGTCACCTCATGTGATCCAAGGCTTTAAAAATTCAATTCTTTAGCTTCTGTATGAGATAGAGTTTTACTACAGGTGTATCTTTTCAATCACAGCAGAAAATAATTTCCACTTCAAAGGCATATCCTATTTCCCCACTTTTAAGCATTCAAGTAAAAATCAGTTCTAAGATCGACCTATGTAGTCAGCACCAAACCATTGTCAGAATAAAATAAACAACTTTTCCTGCATGTATTAATTCTTTGAGAAAAACTTTACTGAAAAACATCTCCTCCAAGATAGGTAAAACTACCAATCTCATAACAGAGGTCCACTATAGAGGTAACATTATTTATGCACGGGCCAGTTAAAATTCGCAAGAAAACAATTAACAGTTGAAGGATTTCTCTTTCAAACATGCAATTTCTTTTGAACAAAGCTGTAAACAATTTTTAGGTGTAAATCAGTACTAATACCCTTTATGAGTATCTCTCTTACAGGTGGTTCATTACAAAGCATCGAGTTCTATTTACTCAAAAAAACCTAATAAGAGATAGTTTCCTTGGCAGCTACAGAAAACTGAAATGATCTCATGGACTGCACTGATGTCTCTATTTTGTGCTAAATGCTTCAGAAATTTTGAGGTAGTCCACTTACCTAAGGTAATAGTAAGGTTCCAGAATGCAAGCATATCCAGAATAAGTAAAAGGGGCTGACTGTACAATAATAATTAAAATAATACTGTGAATAAATGTATGAATGTTTTGCATGAAGAGGCAATTTCCTAGCACACAAAAGTGATAAAAGAATAAAGCTTGTTGCCTCCTTAAGGCTAAACATCTCTGAGTCACTAAGGTGAGATTTAGAGGCCCAGCAAAAGATCTGAGCCTAACAAACACTTTGTTTTTTTTGTAGGAAGTAGTGTAAAAAACACTCTCTGCGCTCCCAGATACACTGGTGACTTGACCTTGGACATGTCACTTAGCAACACCTGGTAAAAGTATTACAGGACTGGTGTAAGGATGAGATGATGTATATGAAAATATTAGGCAAACTATGAAGAAACACTAACGAAGTGCTAGTTATTATTTTTATGTAATACTATTTCATGCCTCACCTTTCCTGCCTATATCCCTGTCTGTAAAAAGGGTGCAGATGGAGGTATGAGTGCCAAGTCAGTCACTTACCCTCTGCGTAAACTTGAGCAATTCATTTCCTTTCCAGGCCTATTTCCTAAGAGAGTTATTATGAATATCAAATGATATCGTGTACGTAAATGTGAGTGCCAGACATACACTTAACAAATGTGAGCTGTTTTTACTCTCTAGGAAGAGGACTGTCAGGAGCAAACGAAATTGTATCTAATTAAAAGGCTCTGCATATGTATATAAAACTCTATACACATCCAAGGCTATTTGCACTGCAAACTGCCAAGACATACAAGGAACAAGAAACGGAATGGAGCCTCAGAGGCTCCCACTACAGAGGAGCGAAGGCAGAGAAGGGAGCTCAGGAGCCTGGGTGATTTGGATTAGCAGTAGGAATGAGAATAGAGAGGTGGGGCAGAAAAAAATTTAAGAGACACTGGAGAATCAATTCACTATTTCCACCCGCCCTCCCTTTTTCTTTTATGTCAGCCTAGACAATTTCATCCAACTTCCCAGCCCACCATATCCCTAGACATTTATTTACTGTACCTTCTTGGCTGAGAGCCTTATCCACTCCCCTCCCCTTCTGGTAGTGGTGAACTTCAAACTCTCGGCTTCGGCACCCACTCCCTTTAACTGTTTTTTACCGAGTTTCCCTATATTCTCCCCTCCGCCAAGGGGGAAATGCAGTTGGACGCACCGCAGGGCATCCTAGGAAATGTGGTTTCTCAGACTTTTTTGCTTCGGACGCAGAGTAGGCAAGATGACAAAAGAGATCCAGTTAAAAAACCACAACTCCCGGCGGGCAGCGCAAGTCACCATCTTCCTGTCTGCCCCCCCTTCCTAGTGCCGTCCTCTTCCTCCTCTCCGCCGGCACTAAGCCGCTTGGCCTCACGGTATTTGGAGTTCTTTCTAGACCCAAGATCCTGGCACTGGATGGCGAGCAGAGAGGCTGAAGGACTCCAATTCCCAGAGGGCAGAGCGGAAGTTGCGCCTGCGCACTTCTAGTGAGGGCGTGTATGTCTGTGTGTCTGAGGGAGAGAGCGAGAGTGAGTGAGTGTGAGTGCGGGGTGGGGTGGTGGCCGTTACGTTCGGGGTAACGGCTACGGCAGTGGAGAAGTAAGAAGAGAAACAACGTCCGCGCTTCCGCCTTCGCTTAGGAGGAGGAGGAGCTGGCAGGGAGAGGAAAGTGATTCGCCCTGGGCTTGGCCTAGACAGAGTCGAGCCGGTGAGGTCTGGGTTATGAGCCTTTGAGGGTCGCCTGGGACGCGGAGCGAGACACGAGAGCCGAGAGCTATGTCTCAGCCGCCGCCGCCGCCTCCGCTGCCGCCGCCACCTCCTCCCCCTGAAGCTCCGCAGACTCCGCCGTCCCTGGCGGCGGCGGCGGCGGCTGCTCCGGGGGGGCTCTCGAAGCGGAGAGACCGGAGAATCCTTTCTGGGAGCTGCCCGGATCCGAAGTGCCAGGCGCGTTTGTTCTTCCCGGCCTCTGGTTCTGTCAGCATCGAGTGTACCGAGTGCGGACAGCGGCACGAGCAGCAACAGCTGCTGGGGGTGGAGGAGGTGACCGACCCGGACGTAGTGCTACACAACCTGCTGCGGAACGCGCTGCTCGGGGTGACGGGGGCACCCAAGAAGAACACGGAACTGGTAAAGGTGATGGGCCTTTCCAACTACCACTGCAAATTGTTGTCGCCCATATTAGCTCGCTACGGAATGGACAAACAGACAGGCCGGGCCAAGCTTCTCCGGGACATGAACCAGGGCGAACTGTTCGATTGCTCTTTACTGGGTGACCGCGCCTTCCTTATAGAACCAGAGCATGTTAACACGGTGGGCTACGGCAAGGACCGCTCCGGAAGCCTCCTGTATTTGCATGACACTCTTGAGGACATCAAGCGGGCCAATAAAAGTCAGGAATGCCTCATTCCAGTGCATGTAGATGGGGATGGACACTGCCTGGTGCATGCTGTGTCTCGGGCTCTAGTAGGCCGGGAGCTCTTCTGGCATGCCTTGAGAGAGAATCTTAAACAGCACTTTCAGCAGCACCTGGCCCAATATCAAGCCCTGTTCCATGACTTCATTGATGCTGCCGAGTGGGAGGACATTATCAATGAATGTGACCCTCTGTTTGTACCACCTGAGGGTGTTCCCTTGGGCCTGAGGAATATCCACATATTTGGCCTTGCTAATGTGTTACATCGTCCTATCATTTTATTAGATTCCCTCAGTGGCATGAGAAGCTCTGGTGATTATTCAGCCACCTTTCTGCCTGGGCTCATCCCTGTAGAGAAGTGCACTGGGAAAGATGGTCATTTGAATAAACCAATCTGTATTGCATGGAGTAGCTCTGGTAGAAACCATTATATCCCCTTGGTAGGCATAAAAGGGGCTGCTTTGCCCAAACTGCCTATGAATTTGCTTCCTAAAGCATGGGGTGTGCCTCAGGACCTTATCAAAAAGTACATCAAACTTGAGGATGATGGTGGTTGTATTATTGGAGGAGACAGAAGTTTGCATGATAAATACTTGCTTAGGCTTGTTGCTGCTATGGAAGAAGTCTTTATGGACAAACATGGTATCCATCCTAGTTTGGTTGCTGATGTCCATCAGTATTTCTACAGAAGGACTGGGGTGATAGGAGTTCAGCCTGAAGAAGTCACAGCAGCTGCTAAAAAAGCAGTAATGGATAATCGCCTTCACAAATGTTTGCTCTGTGGTGCCCTTTCTGAACTTCATGTTCCTCCAGAGTGGTTGGCTCCAGGAGGGAAACTGTATAACCTGGCAAAAAGTACTCATGGACAGCTGAGGCCTGACAAAAATTATAGCTTTCCCTTGAACAATTTGGTTTGCTCATATGATTCAATGAAAGATGTTCTGGTACCAGACTATGGATTGAGTAACCTAACAGCTTGTAATTGGTGCCATGGCACATCTGTGCGAAGGGTCAGAGGAGATGGGTCTATTGTGTATCTGGATGGAGACAGAACTAATTCTAAGTCCACTGGTGGCAAATGTGGTTGTGGATTCAAACACTTTTGGGATGGTAAAGAGTATGACAATCTACCAGAAGCTTTCCCTATTACTTTGGAATGGGGTGGAAGAGTGGTCAGAGAAACAGTGTATTGGTTCCAGTATGAAAGTGATTCATCTTTGAATAGTAATGTTTATGATGTTGCAATGAAACTTGTTACCAAGCACTTTCCAGGTGAATTTGGGAGTGAGATCCTAGTTCAGAAAGTTGTCCACACTATATTGCATCAGACTGCCAAAAAGAATCCTGATGATTATACTCCTGTAAATATAGATGGTGCTCATGCCCAAAGAGTTGGAGATGTGCAAGGACAAGAATCAGAGTCTCAGCTTCCAACTAAAATTATTCTTACTGGACAGAAAACAAAAACTTTGCACAAGGAGGAGTTAAACATGAGTAAAACTGAAAGAACTATTCAACAGAATATTACGGAACAGGCTTCTGTAATGCAGAAACGGAAAACAGAGAAGTTAAAACAAGAACAAAAAGGGCAGCCCAGGACTGTTTCTCCCAGTACCATTCGTGATAGTCCATCCTCTGCACCTGTTACCCCTACCAAGGCTCCCTATTCACCTACAACTTCTAAGGAGAAGAAGATCCGAATAACAACTAATGATGGACGACAGTCCATGGTTACTCTTAAGTCTTCAACAACCTTTTTTGAACTTCAGGAAAGTATAGCCAGAGAATTCAACATTCCTCCATATTTACAGTGTATTCGATATGGTTTTCCTCCTAAAGAGTTAATACCGCCACAGGCAGGAATGGAAAAGGAGCCAGTTCCTTTACAGCATGGTGACAGAATCACAATAGATATTTTAAAAAGTAAAGCTGAAGGTGGTCAGTCTGCTGCAGCACACTCAGCTCACACTGTGAAACAAGAAGATATTGCTGTTACTGGTAAATTGTCATCTAAGGAACTTCAGGAGCAAGCTGACAAAGAAATGTACTCCTTGTGTCTTTTAGCAACATTAATGGGTAAGATCAATTTAACTTGGTATATTTTAATCGTGAATATAATACACTGAGTTTTTCTGTGTATTTTTTTCTTTGGGGGAAAAATCTGTGATCATTGCAAATATTTGATTATATAATTTTAGAGGAAATTTTTTTTACTGTTTTGGCAATTAATAGATGGATGTTAATATGGTTATTGAGTAACTATTAGGAAAACTTAACCTGAAAGTGAAAGTAGTCCCTCAACTGTCACCAGATTATTTAAATATATCCTATTCTTGCAATTGTTTTTTTAACTGTACTGTATCTATTTAAAGCCTTTTTATTATTTTTTTTTTCTAGGCTCTATTGAGCCTGCCACCTCGCCCCTTTTTCATTTATTTTTAAATTTTATTTTCTTGCATGTCATGTGATCTCAGGACTTCCTGTTTGATGAATTGCAGTTTCTGGTGTTTATATTCTCACTGCATTCTCTTCCATTTCACATTCTCCCTTTCCCAGTTCATCACATTTTTATTTGTTCACTAGGTTTTGTATTTAAGTAATTTCACTGCTCAGTGGATCTTTGCCATTAATTGTAATGAACTATTATATAGCTCATGAGAAACATAAGAAATAGAGATAGATAGTAATGGAGTTAAGAAGTATTTCTTTTTAATAATTCACAAATTAAAGGAAAATATAAACTAAATATGTAATTTAAACCTTTAGATGATTTGGGATACAGTCCAATGGTGCACTTTTTATGATTATCTTTATTTGCTTAATCTTTGTTTTTAAATCGCTGTTAATATGCTTTACTGAGTCTTAAAGTATGAATTAAAATTTAAATATGTTAGATACTGGGAGGGCCTTATTTTTACTGAGATTAGAGCTTTCAACTAGAAAGTTGATCTGGATTTTTATTGTTTTTTGAGAGTACTAACTAGCAGTGAATTGGGCCCTGACCTACCGAAATGAATATTATTTATTCCTGGTTTATTTGGAGGCCTACCAGTTAATAGGAGATCTAAAAAGCCTGTACAAATTTCTAGCTTGATATTGCTGATTTTAGTTGAGGCATTATAATTTAATTGGAGGATATGTCAGGAACTGTAGGCACTGTACATATTTCTGTGTATCAGAGTTTTTGGTTTCTTAGAGAATGAATGGTATAGAGGAAAGATTGTGTGATCTTTGGAGTCAGAAACACCTACAATTTGAATCTTGGCTGTACTGCTTATTATAATAACCTAGTGATTTCAGGCAAACTACTTAACTCCTTAGTACTTCAGTTGACTCCTCAATGCAAAATACCCCTGTGGTTGGTATGTAAGGGTAACAGTAAAGTATTCCTAGAACTCCAAAAACTAAATAATATTCTCACAGAATGGATAAAATTAGATACATACAGAAGGCACTTTAAAAGATCAGCAATCTCCCAGGTTAAAAATATGAAAGAAAAGGTCTTCCTCCATAGAAAATGAACTCTTGAGGATGTGGTTCATATCATCTCTAACCTTGTATGCTCAGCACCTGGTATAGTGCCCAGCAGGTAGCAGGCTGTTTGAAATGTTTTTTGATTGAACTAAATAGATGACATTAACGTATCTAAAGAAAGGCTGTATCTGCAGAAATGGAATGGATAGTCAGTCAGCATTGAACATTGAAAAAGTCTGAAAAGCAGAATTTGACAATGTTTATACACTGCTGTACAAAGGGAAAAGATACATCATCTGGGGTTCATGAAAATTCTGGTAGCTAGAAAGGTAATCTCTGTTGAAAGGTGAAAATATTTAATCAGTCCTGACCATGACCTGGCTTAAATATCT